AAACTTCCTGAGATTAAAGTCAGAACGTTCTGAGATTAAAGTCAGAACGTTCTGAGATTAAAGTCAGAACGTTCTGAGATTAAAGTCAGAACGTTCTGAGATTAAAGTCAGAAAGTTCTGAGATTAAAGTCAGAAAGTTCTGAGATTAAAGTCAGAAAGTTCTGAGATTAAAGTCAGAAACCTCTGCCCCCCCCCCCCATGTTAAATAAAATTAAAAACACTTTTATTTTTTCAGTGGCCCTAATTCTCTTCCATCCATTTGTGACCATTTTCCTCTATAATCTTTTTCTGCTGTAAACACCAGAATTTCTCCATTGTGGGACAATAAAGGGATTTTCTACTCTATTCTACCATATTCTATTCTAAATATCAGACAGATCTGCAAAATCAAAAATCAATTCAAAGATGTCAAACAGACCATTAGATTAAAACATGCGATCATTTAAACTGCTACAAGGAAAAACAAGAACTGTTGGTTTAAAATGAAACTGATCAGAAAGAAAAACATAATTAGATCTATAAAAGTTGTGACGACCTTTGACCTCTGTGTGTTCTGCAGTGTTTTCAGTCCTGGTTTAAAGGAACCAGCAGTGAGAAGAGAAAATGGTTCAAACCTTTATTTTCTTCTTGAGGTGAAAACCGTGGATAGAAACGTTCAGATAGAAAGAGCTCAGAAAGAAAATAAACCAGGACCTGCAAAGATCCTTTAAGCTCTTTATGTCAAACCTGGAACCGATGGTTAGAAACTGTTTACGTGTAAAGATCCAGCAGCGAGGGAAACCCTGGCAGCCTGTTGACTGACCTCTACAGAACCTCATTGATAAAAAGCGGGTTCTGGTTCTGAGCTCTCTGACTTCATGACGGAGCGCCTTTTTCCTACTAATGTGATCCAGGGATTCCTAAAACCCAAAAAGAAAGAAATAATGTAAATCTAATCCTATAATACTGGTAAATAAAGCTGCCTAGAACATTAGGCCTGAATGCTCCTGCTTGGGTTGAACTTTGACCTCTGGGCAGAAGGCTCTCTGAATGAGAGCAGAACATGGAGGGTCAGGAATGTGCTGCTGCAGCAGGAACGCTGTCGCCCGTCGGGTCGCCGTCGGTTGGTCAGACTGACGGCAGGTTGGGACAGAATCTAGAAATCGATTCTAGAAGGATTTGGACCTTCAGCACCTGAGGAACGGCTCAGTTGGGATTAGATTGAAAGGAGGAAACTTTACTGGGAGAAACTACGGTATGGTATAAAAATATAAAACGAGGAGCAATATTTATGGTTATTTAACCTGTTTTAAGAACTTATTTTATTTCAACTAATTTTTTTCTCTATGTCATTCATTTATTTATAAAAATCTTACTTTGTTAAATAAATAATTGGCTCCAAATGAAATGTTAATTTAAAAAAAGTAAATATACACACACAAATACCCCCTTATTTTCCACTAAAAACACGCTAAATAACCATAAATATAAAAAAACTCCTCATAATAAACCACAAATAGACCTTTGATAAATCTGACGTTTTATTGATCGATTTCCTTCCTCCAGATGTTGTTTCCCTTCACAGCTTGTAGAAAACAGCAAATTTATATATATTTTTTGGCATCATTCATGGCATTGGACTCTTTTTTTTTTTTTTTTTTTCTAAATGTTTTTAATATTATATTAATATATTCCATTTAAGAGTATTACTGCTGCCACCGTCTGTTTTAGAGGGAAAAACATAGTAGGGGTGGCCAATGATTGGCTAATGGTGGCCATGGCCCCCATCTAGCTCCGCCCCTGTGCAGGATCCCTCTGGGACCAAGTCTGCTCCTGTTTTCTCTGTATTTCTGACCCTCCTAAGAAGTTCTCTTAAATCAAGTGTCTCCTTTCCATAAAGTCGCCCTGATGGAACCCATTACCTTCCAGCCTCTCCTCACATGTAGGCTGAGTTCTTTCTCTCCTGGTGGAAAAGAGACGTTAACTCTCTCTGTGATGCTCGTGTCTGCAGTGAATCCCATCCCTTGCAACCTGAAGTCTGAGGCCAAGAAGGCCGCCAAGATCCTGAGAGATTTCACCCAGATCTCCAACAGGACCGGGCCGGATAAACTCATCCCCGGTAGGAGGCGTCCCCGGTGCTGAAAGCGGCTCTAAAACCCCGGATCTGAACCGGCCTGTTCTGTGTTTCAGCTCACATTATAGCCAAGGCCGAGGGTTTGGCCATCATCTCCGTCATCAAGGCCGGCTTCATGGTCACAGCCAGAGGCGGCAGCGGCGTCGTCATCGCCAGACTCGCCGACAGACGTAAGAAGTTGGGTTTTATTGCTTCAGAAACAAAGCGGCTCCTATGAGCGTTTATATAACGATGTAAAGCGTCCAGCTCAGCTCTAACGAGCCTTTCTGGGTCCAGGTTGGTCAGCACCGTCCGCCATCGGCATCGCTGGCCTCGGCGGAGGCTTTGAGATCGGTGTGGAGGTAAGTCAGTTCAATTCTATTCAGCTTATTTCTATAGCTCCAATTCACATCATGTCATCTCAGGTCACTTTCCAG